GATTTAGCTTCATATAGGAAGTCTTCTTGGCTTTTATTGAGATGCCAGGCGAGCTTTATCTTGTTGTAGGAAGTCTCCTCAGCCTTTATTGAGAGACCGGGCAAAATTAGGAGTCTACACCCCCTCTTCCTTATTTCTGAGGACCAACGGTCGAGGCTTATTTTCCTCTTGTGGCGAGTCGACCGTTGGGGAAAGCTTGATTAGGAGTGGCTTTCTCTCCATTCTTTTGATTTGGAAGACGTGTTAGTTAATCCTTCCTTTTTATTATCTTATTTGTTAAGAATGAAGGAGGGGAAATTAAATATGCAGATGAATGATATGCATGCAAGTAGACAATTTGTGGAATAAAGAAAAATTTCATTTATCCGTTGGATGGTGTACATTCCCCTATTCCATACTACGAAACAACTTTTGACAGAAACGGAAAAGCCTAAAGAAACCCACAGGCGGGTCTTGATCTCTATGTAATTCCCTTTCGGCTTCCTGGACGTGACGAGAAAGTGCTTCACTTTGCTTCTGGACCGCCTGGCTCATATCTTCGTTGTACTTTTGAGCCTCTTTGATCTTCGCCTCTTGATAGACGACCAAGGCTTGTAGTTCATCGAGTTTTGTAAGGGCTCAGTCCTTTTCTTGTAGTACTTGGTTGTACTAAGCTAGCCCATCTCTTTCTTTGCAACATAGCTCAGCGAGACTTTTATTGAGTCTCCGATTCGCCTCCCGCTCTTGGCGTATTTCTGACCGAGTCTTGGCGAGTTCTTGCAACAGCTCCTTGATCGTCTAAGCCTGTTTTGCTGATTCGGCCTCAAGGCGTGCTGATTTGGCAGTTATTTCTTGGAGTTGACTATCTGAGCTGGTTCTAGCGGCTTTGGATGCTCGGATAGCTTGCTCATTAGAGTCAGTACACTGGTCCTTGAGGCGCTCTATTTCATGATCCTTTTTCTTGCATTGCCTTTGCAGACCATTTATGGTGAGGATAGATTCTTGCTCTCTTTCTTCAAGGGCCCTCATCTGGGCTCCCATGATTTCTATCATCTGGGTCAAGGCATCGACTTGAGCTTGCAGCTCTTCACTATTGGTGCTTGTAACGAGTGAGGCGGATGGTTGAGACATCCCTCTTCTTTTTCTCCACACCTCATAGTCACTGGAGACAGCTACTCGAGCTTTTCCTAGCTGTTGCCGCCGTCAAAACGAGGGCGGTCGGAGCGACGCGATGGTTTCCGACTCTCTTGATTTTCATGTTTTTATTGGTGTGGTTACAACGCCTTTAGGTTGTCCGATAACCAGGCTGAACCTAGGGGCGAGGTTTTCGAAAAGGTGCTCTTAGATTGTCCGATAACCGGGCCAATCCAAGAGCTAGTTTTGAAGGGTTCTCTGGAGTCGCCACCGATGTTTTTACCTGAAACATCGGAAAAGGAGTTTAAAAGGCGTTGGTTTTCGAAAAACCAACTTTGGTCATTAGAACCAGAGTTGGGTAAGGGAGTTAGTTACGCGTAAAGGAAGTATTAGTTCCTTTACGACGCCCCTTTCGGGTTCCCTATGATAGGCCAACTATTTTGTTAATAAATAAATCGGAAAAATACGCTTTTGCCCTTTTATTTTGCGAAATTTAAGGATTATGACTACATGGCCCTAATGTCTATTGCGCAATTTAAATAATGCGGTAAAAGATAGAGAGAGAAAGTAGGAACCTCCGAACCTAGCTTTTATTAATCTTTTAAAATAGGGTGCTTTGCGGCAGCCCTTCACTCTACACGGCGTCGGAAGACCTCTCGAAACGCTCTAAAAACACTCTAAAGACACTCAGAAGCTCCGGAAATGCGTCGGAGGGATTCTAGAGAGAGAAACTATTGATGTGACTAGAGAGAGAGTGAGAAAATTGTGTGAAATGAGGGGAAGGGAGGCCCTATTTATAGGGATTCGCGCCTATCAGGTCGAGATGGGCCGTCTCGTCTGACAAGGTCGAGACAGCCGTCTCGCCAATCCAGACGACCGTCTCGCCTTGCAGGAATGGCGAGACGGCGGTCACGAATCCGAGACGGCGGTCTCGACCCCAAAAGGCGAAAATCCTTATTTTTGAGCAAAAAATCCCTCCTATCCTAGTATGGGGCCTAATAGTCTCTCCTAGTGGCTTCTTAGGCTTCGCCCATCTTCGAAAAGGAGGCCTTCTGATCTTTATTGTGAGACCGGGCAAGATTTGGGGTCTACACTAGCTCTCTATCTCCCATAAAGACTGGTTTATCCCATGCTTTTCTCACGGCTAGTGACTTGGCGATTGTGCATGGGTCTCCGAAGAAATACAGTCCTCCGAGTTCCCCTCAAGAAATTGTAGTTTGGGTCCTCATGAGCTGCCTCATAGCTATTCTAGGTGAATAGGCTATGCAACCCCTGAGTCCTATCAAGGGTACGTTCGGATAGTCTCCACATCTGATGAGGACTGGACCGGGTCGGAACCAAGGGTAGACCCAAGATAAATTGTTGGCGTCCCATTGTTCCAACTCGTCCTTCCACTCCGAGGTTAAGCGTCATTGGAGAGGGATTTTGGAGAAGCTCCTCAAAGGGTTGGGGAACATCCCCATGTGACTAGAGGCGTAAAAATGTGTAATGCCCCACACGGAGAGTAGTGAAGAGCAGCAACAAAGTGTTTTTCCTTGCTTCTGGCAGCAGAATTCCACCGAGAGCAAGGTGTTGGCAAGAATTGCAGGCAAGGGACTCTTCGAGTTCACGTCCTAGGCGAAGAAGGCATCCATGACGGCTTGATCCACTGTGTCGAGGTGGAAGGGAAACAAGATCGTTTCGAATATGATTAAGGCCAGGGTTTTGTTAAAAGCGACCCATTCTGTCCTTTTAGCCAAATCAGACAGATGGTCTTCTAACATTGAGACTTTCCAACCCTGGATGTTCCCTTTTCCTATCAGGGTAGTCTGCCGGAAAGGCAGTTGGATGATGGCAGCGATTTGTGCTGCAGGAGTATATGCCCCGTGGCGGATATGGACCTCGGCTGATTTGGGCCATTTTAACATAATTTCGTACTCCTCCAAGGTGGGCACCATATCTAACAGCGGAAATTCAAAGCAGCGTAGACCGGAGTTCCAGAAGTGAATTAGTACCCTGACAAAAATTTGATTGACACAGATCTTTAGCAGGTCAAGAATTCATCCATAGGATTTTTCAAAGTCGGAGCGGACCTCTGGTGGCATTACCGCGCAAAGCCGTTCCAATTTCTCAGTATGGTATCGGGGAATGTCCACCTTCTTCAATTGTCTACTTGTCGCCTCCATTTTCTAAAACCAAAATGCATGTCTTATGAAAATGATGCTTATTGGATGAATATGAGTGTTTATTTTTTATTTATCATGTTTTGTATGATATTTGCGTATTTTTTGAAAAATAGACTACCTATATGAATGACTGTAATAGTTTTGAACAAGGTCCCATTTATTGTTCTAAACTGAATTTTTATTTTTATTTTATAGCCTTTTATCTCTTCTATCGGACTGCGTGGCTACTTAGCTTACAAAGAACCTGAAACCAGGCTAGCTCAAAGGAAGACTGTCCGAGATAAAATAATGGCTTTATGCGAAAGAATAGTATTTGGTGTCCCTTATCTCTTCTGTCGGACTGCATGGCTACTTAGCTTATAAAGAACCTGAAACCAAGCTAGCTAAAAGGCAGACTGTCCGAGATAAGGGTGTTTATTGCAAAAATGTTTTTCGTGATTTTTCTGTTGTTTGGTTATGCTATGCAACAGACAAATGCAACAAACAGATGCACACACAATTCGATCATCCATGAACAGGCGAGAAGTCGTTTTAATCACGAGGTAGGGTTTTCCTGCAGAAAAGTGCTTTGCAAAGGTAGGTTCTAACTATTCTCACCAAGGCTAAGGCCCCCAAGGTGCCCCCATTATAGGGTCCCCACTCTCCAGCCTTCCGACCATGCTTAGCACTAAGGTCATAGTCAGTCTTTATGCCAAAAGAGGAAGGTTATCACCTTGAGTGGTGGTTTCCGATCACACTGGTGGGCACAAGGCCATCACTACAGCGAACCGTACCTGCCACCCACTCCCTATGGATTTCTCACTTGCCCCCAGGTATAGAGGGAACTGTAGTGTGCAAGGGTTTGTGTACAGTTTGTATTTCAAACAATTGCGTAAGTATAAACAAGCAACAGTTATTAAAGCCAAGCATTAAAACATGTTATAATACAAGGTAGGGTAAAAGCGTAATTTTCTTGGTTTATTTATTTTAAGCTGGCCCATCACTAAATGGGATCAACTCTCTAGGCTTCCCCAGTGGAGTCGCCATCTGTCACCGCCGTCAAAACGAGGTGGTCGGAGCGACGCGATGGTTTCGATTTTTCCAATTTTTGCGTTTTTATTGGTGTGGTTACAACGCCTTTAGGTTGTCCGATAACCGGGCTGAACCTAGGGGCGAGGTTTTCGAAAAGGCGCTCTTGGATTGTCCGATAACTGGGCTAACCCAAGAACTAATTTTGAAGGGTTCTTCTAGAGTCACCACCGATGTTTTTACCGGAATCATCGGAAAAGGAGTAAAAAGGTGTTGGTTTTTTGAAAAACCAACTTTGGTCATTAGAACTAGAGTTGGGTAAGGGAGTTAGTTACGTGTAAGGGAAGTGTTAGTTCCCTTACGACGCCCCTTTCGGGTTCCCTATGATAGGCCAACTACTTTGAATAAATAAACTGGTGAAAATACGCTTTTACCCTTTTATTTGCAAAATTTAAAATTACGACTACATGGCCCTAATATCTATTGTACAATTAAAAATAAAGCGGTAAAGGAGAGAGGGAGTATGTAAAAACCTCTGAGGCAAGCTTTATATTAATTCCTTGATAATTCGGGTTCTTTTTGGCAGCCCTTCACTCTTTACAGCGCCGGAAAACTCTCAAAAACGCTCTAAAAACTCTTAGAAACTCTCAGAAACTCCAGAAATGCTTCGGAGGGGTTCTAGAAAGAGAATTTGAGGAGGTGACTAGAGAGAGAATGGAAGAACTGTGTGAAATGAGGGGAATGGAGCGGCTATTTATAGGGATTCGCGCCTGTTAGGTTGAGACGGTCGTCTCGCCATTCGAGACAGCCGTCTCGCCTTGCAAAAATGGCGAGATGGCCGTCTCACCAAACGAGACAGCGGTCTCGCCACTTTCGCAAGGCGAGACGGCGGTCCCGAATATGAGACAGCGGTCTCGACCCTGAAAGGCGAAAATCCTTATTTTCATGCCAAAAATCCCTCCTATCCTAGTATGGGGCCTAATAGTCTCTCCTAGTGGCTTCGTAGGCTTCATCCATCTTCAAATAGAAGGTCTTCTGGTCTTTATTATGAGGCTGGGCAAGATTTGGGGTCTATAACCCATCTTCAGAGTAGAAGTCTTCTGATCTTTATTGAGAGGTCGGGCAAATTTTGGGGTCTACAGCTACCCCCCCTTCACCTGCCTGACTGTCTGTTTGGCTTAATGTGCCTACGAGATCAATTGGCAGGTGGCAGGTGAAGGAGTTAACCCTCTTGCCCGGTCATCCTTTAGATGCTCCTTTACTGAAGTTGTTGATCCTCTGGATGATGAATGGTTTGATAGGTACAAACCCCTATCCGGTTTGATGAGAATGAACCCTCATCTGGTCCGAACCCCCTTCTATAAGGCTCTTGTGAGTACAAACCCCCACCAGGTCCAAGTCCCCTTCTGTAAGACTCTTGTGAGTATCAGCTCTCACCAGGTCTGAACCCCCTTTTGTATGGTTCTTGTGAGTACAAACCCCACCAGGTTTGAGTCCCCTTTTGTAAGACTCTTGTGAGTACCAACCCCTACCAGGTCCAAGTCCCCTTCTGTAAGACTCTTGTAAGTACAAACCCCCACTAGGTTAAAAGCCGACGAGCCCCCTTCTGTAAGACTCTGCCGGTTTGAGGAATCCCCTTCTGTAAGACCCTCATGGATGATAAGCCCCCTTCTGTAAGGCTTATCAGGTGCGAACCCCCTTCTGTAAGGTTCTACCAGTTGATGACCTTGAAACCCCAGGATGCTACTTTTGGTAGTCGATCCCGTAGCTGATGAGTACGAACCCTCATCTAGTTCTGAGTGCTTTCTTATGGACTGAAAATGTGTTGGCGGCTTACTGCTTCTGGTCATGCGCATACTCCATGGGGATTAGTTATTTGAGAATTTTGTTTTTGACTTTTCTGGTTAGTCATCCAACTTGCCGAGGATTATTTGTTTTTGGTTTTTTTTTATAGCCATCCGAATTGTTGGTTGTCGAGGATTATTGATGATTAGCTCTTGAATTAGGCAAGAATCCACCAAGGTTTTGTTGATTTCTGATATTAATGCCTCTTGAGTAGGCAAATGCTTCAATAGTGATGAAGACTTTATGTTCAGGTTTGTAATGCCTCTGAATATGCTAATTTCCATTGGCTCTTTGCTTGCTAGGTCTTGCCTATGTATTCCATTGGGGAATATTCATGTTGGATAGGCAAATAACTCCTTGAGGATAGAAACTTGTAATTTTGCCTTTGCTGATAGGCTCATTGGGGATAATCTTTCTTTTTTATTTGCCCCCTAGGAGAATGAAGGATTTTCTATTTTTTATTGAACCACTTGGGGAGATGAGAATTCTGACTCCTTAGTTGTTTATGGACTTTTCAAGTCCTTATTCTCCTTTGGCAAGTATGACGGAGACTTTGGATGAATATGCTTGATGACTCATGTGGCGCCGATGTTGAATCATGAGGTAATCTTATTGTTGCCTGCGGAGTAGGCAAGGATCCTCTTGGGCATGATCAAGCCTTTCCTTTGGCTTTTCTTTGTTGCACTTCCTTTTCTTGAATGGAAGGAGGAATGATTGGAGCTTTAGATTTCCTGAAGCTCTTTTATTGAATTATTTGATTTCGCCTTATTCTTCTTGAGGGGACTTTTGTTTGGAGATTTGGTTTAGGCATCTCCTTTTTCAATCACAAAGATAGAGCCTAACCTCTGTATATGCATGATTATTGTTCTTATTTAAAGAAACTTATTTTTTATTGATTTTGACAAAGATGTTTTATGCAACTAATTTATGTGTGGATTTTCTAAATGCAATCTATTTGTTTATTTGATTCATTTAGAAAAGTGATTGGTTTTCTCATGTTGGACCTTCATGAATATGCTAATGGGCTCCTCTTTTATTCATCTTTTGATTTTAGCCTTATCTTTTGCCTAGACCGCACTTTACGGGTTTTCGATCTAGCGGGCTGCCTTAATTTTTGCCTAGAATATCTTAGGGGGATTTTTCCTTATCTTTTTCCTAGATCGTTCTTTTGGGGTTTTCGATCTAGCAAACTACCCTGATTTTACCTAAAAATATCCTAGCAGGCATTTATTCTTTTCTTATATTTTTTTATCCTTCCTCTTTTTAGATGCATGTTTGATCTTTGATTAAAGGCCTTTGCGCATATTGATAATTTATCAATAAAGATGAATTTCCATAATACTTGGTCAAGAGAAAGGAAATAAGAGGGAATTTTATTAATAAATGAGCAAAAGTTTATTTCTTTTTATAGAAGGATTACAAAGGTATTTAGAAGAATGGATGGTTGAGGTTGGTTGTACTGTATAAGTTTAAACAGTCATGCCCATGATATCTTCCCCCTTTCTCCTAATTGCTTCAGTTGAGATGTTCGAGCTCAAAGTGAAGAATATGCAGACCATTTACTTCCGAAAGAATGTTACCTTAGCCGCCTTTTTGGTTTTCGACTGAGGTAACCATTGCTCTTTTTTTTTCTCTTCTTTTTGCTTAGGACGTATCCTAGCGAGGGATATAAACCCTATCTTTTGCCCAGGGACGCCTTTTGCAAGTTTTCATTCCTGACGGGTCTAGAGCAATGTCTTCAAGCATAATACTTCTTCACCACATCAGAGTTGATTAGGTGTCGAAGTTCCTCTCCATCCATGTTGGTGAGGATAAGTGCCCCTCCCGAGAAGGCTTGTTTGACCACAAAGGGTCCTTTGTAGTTTGTTGCCCATTTTCCAATTTTGTCCTTCTGGGTTGGAAGCAATTTCTTTATCACTAGATCCCCTTCTTGGTAAGTATGAGGGTGGACCTTTTTGTCATAAGCCCTTTTTGTTAGAATCGCGCAGCGGAATGTTCGCGTGTACGGACAAAAACCAAGAGGGGGGGGGGGGTGAATTGGTTTCTTAACAAAAATTAGGTTTTAAAATTTTTCCCCAAATTTTACCGATTAACGCTGTCACTATAATCAAAGTTGTTACAAACAGATAACAATTGAAAATACAAAGTAAAGAAAACACCTCTCTTGAAAACCACAAGAAATGAAGAACAGCTTTCCCCAGAGACGGCACAACACACAATCCACTAAGAACTCCACTTAGAGACTCTTATCTCTTCTAGCCCACACCAGGTTCCAAAAGCCCCTTTTTCCTCCAACAAACAGTTCTCTGGCACTCACAGCACTTAACTTTTGTTTGAAAAAGGTTGTTCAATTTTTTGAGAGCCTTAGAGAACCTTAAGTAGAGAAATTAGGGTTTGGGAATTGGGATTTTCGGAACTAGAGAGTATTGGGATTAGGGTTTTCGAAAATAGGTTTAATTTGAAGTTGAAAATCAAAATCTGACTGAAATAATCGATTAAATGAAGTGTTAATCGATTATTACAGAGCCAAAATCAACAGAACCCAAAAACTCTCTGTTTTAATCGATTAAAAGCCCTGTTAATCGATTAACAGGTGTGTTAATCGATTATTACAGTGAACAGTGGCAAAAAATGGTTTTTCTCACTGTATTAATCGATTATTTGACCATTTAATCGATTAAACCCGAGGCAAACTGATAAATGTGAGTTTTTGAAGCTTCTAAAGTGCAGACTATGTACCGTCTATCTTATACTCTAATATTACAGACTCAAACTCATCAAAACAGAGTTATTACACAATCAAACAAGTCTTCAACTCTCTTAGTTCTTTGTTCTTGAATCATCATCAAAATCAACAAGCTTCATGTCCATGTAAGTTCAACATCAAGTCCTTGTATGTTCAACAATCTCCCCCTTTTTGATGATGATCAAAATTTTCTTTTAAAGCCTTGTAATAACCTGTTTTATCTGTCATACTAACAAACAAATTAAACATACTAGATAATATTTAAATTCAATCATAAGGCTTTAAATATTTCTCCCCCTATTTTGATTATAATAAAAAATTGAAAGCTCAGTCTATAACAATCATAAGAGCCCCCCCTCAAAATATGCATAACTTGGAGATAACTCCCTCTCAATCAAAGCATTAAAAGAACACCACATTTTATTTCAGAAATGAAAATACATTACAACATAATTTATTTCAGAAATTAAAATTCTTCACTATCACTATTGTAGACCCCTAATTTTGCCCGGTTTCTCAAATAAAGACAAAAAGATCAACCATAAAGCTCGTCCAGCATTACAAATAAGAGCCAAGAAGACTTCCTGTATGAAGATAAAGCTTCAACAGACACCTATCGGCATCAACTGACGTCCGAAACAGGAAAGGAAAGCTTCCCGGGGTCCCGAAACGTGAAAACTGGGCAAAACAGGTCGAGACGGCCGTCCCAAAGTTGGGACGGCCGTCCCAACCTGCCAGAATCAAGTGGGACGCGCGTCCCGAAGGTGGGACGGTCGTCCCAAAGCCCAATTTAAGTGGGACGGCCGTCCCGGGTTCCCAGGTGGTCTCGCCCTGTGTAAAATTGTCATTTGGGACGGCCATCCCAGTCCAGACGGCCGTCCCAACCCAGACGGCCGTCCCAAAGCGCCCCAGCTGCGAAAACTATAAATAGGAGGCTCATTTGCCACTTTTTGAGACCACAGACACTCCAGAGAGCTCTGAAACACCTTAAAAAACTCAGAGCACTTGTCTACTTCTCTCCCTCTCTCGAATGATCTTTCCGATTGCCTTAAATAGGTAACAATCGGTTAAGGAATTATATTCCGACATTTGATTCTTCTTTAAATTTTTAGTGGAGTCGATCTTGTATTGGTGAGGAGAGTCTGTGTAGAGAGAGGGGTTGCCAAAACGCATCCTCACAGTTCGAGATTCTCAATATAAAGCTTGCTACGGAGGTTCTTTTCAATTCTCTTCTCTTTTATTGCTTTATTTATTGTTTTATTTAGCTTTATTTATTGTTTACGCCATGTAGAATAAAATCATGTAGATAGCCATTTTAATATCTCTTTTATTGCTTTATTTAGCTTTATTTATATAAAATTATGTAGATAGCCATTTCAATATTATGTAATAAAATAGGGTAAT